ATGAGTACCATCCCACTGTGATCTCTGTCTGTCCTGTCCCTCCCGCCACCTCTTCCTCCCTCACTTTCCCGTTCTCTTGCTATTCTCCCCTTTCCCTCTCTCTCTCTCTCTCTCTCTCTCTCTCTCTCTCTCTCTCTCTCTCTCTCTCTCTCTCTCTCTCTCTCTCTCTCTCTCCAGAGGGTGTGTCCGGTCATTAACGACAGTCAAATGTCCTCCCATACGCCTCCCCCACCCTCCCCCTCTCTCTCTCTCTCTCACACACACACACACACGCACACTCTTTACTTCCCTACCCGCTCGCCTTTCCCCCTTTCTTCCTTCTCCGTTGCCTCCCTTCCACGTCTTCGATTCCATCTTTCAACTTGTGCCCTCCATCCCCCCTCCCGATCTTTCCCCCAGCCATCCGCGTTTCCCCATGCGCTTCTCCCCCTGCTCTGTGTCTGTCGCCTCTCTCTCCCCGTCTTTCTCCACGCCTTCCTCCCCTCCGTTGGGATCCCCTCTTCCGAGTCGTGCTTCTACCAATACTCGATGTGCCCCTCGCGGATCTCGTATGTCATTTCCTCTCCTCTGTCTGTCGCTCTTTCTCTCTTCACTGCTCTCTCTCTCTCCCTGACCTCCATCTCCACAGTTACCCTATCCCTCTCGTGATTCAGACCCTCCGCCATATCCTCCTCTCTCTTTCCCTTACAGCCTGTTCCTCTCCCTCCGCGCTGAACCCCCCTCTTCCTGCCTTGCAATCTCTCTCTCTCTCTCTCTCCCCACCTTGTCCGTGTCCCCCTAAACGACCTGCATTTCTTACCCTGTCGCCCTGGCGTTCTTTCCCCTGCACTTCATCGGGTTCCTATATCCCCACCCTGACTGGCATCCCGACCTTCTCCTCCCCTCGATCCCACATCCTGATGGGCCCCTTCCCCCCCCGACCTTCTCCTCCCCTCGATCCCCCTTCCCCTCGGCAACCTCCTTCACTCCGGCAAACTTACCTTGCATGCTTCACCCTATCCCTGTGACTCTCCTTCTGCTTCCTCTGCCTTCGCATCCCATTCTGACCCTCAAATCCTCCTGATCCCACATCCTCGCCCTCCCCCTTCCTCCTCCTCCTGCTACTCCAACCCCTCAAGATTTCGATGGCTACGTACTCCTGCCTGCCTGACCAGCCACTTGCCCTCCCCCTCCCTAGTGTTCCTTCTCCCCCTGCCTCTCCGTGTTCACGGGCGATGCCAGCCTACCCCTTCCGATAGCGGCCGTGCACAATTCCTGCCCCATTTGCAACATAGCACCCCCACAAAAATGGAGTTGCAGCCCTAAAAGAATGGACGGAAAGATGCAGGGATGTGCGGAGGGAGCGGGAAGGAAGGGACACACACACACACACACACACGCACACACACACACACACAGACGTTGCAACCCCACAAAAGACGGAGTTCGACCCTAAAAGAGACGGATGGATGCAGGGAGGAGGGAAGGAGGGATGTACGGAGGGAGGAAGGGAGGGAGGGAGGAAGGAGGGCAAGGAAGGGGGAGAGAGAGAGAGAGAGAGAGAGAGAGAGAGCTGGGGCCGGGGAAAGGTGCCGTTCGCCACGCCAAGCGAACCCACCAATTTCATTTGTGGGCCGAATGTGAACTGAACTTTCCACCTCCTTACGCACAACATCGCTGAGGGAGAGAGGGTGCACTTCGCCACGCCGGGTGAACTCACCTATTTCCTTTCGGGGCCGAGTGTGAGTGGAGCTCTCCGCATCTCCAGGCACAGCACCTTAGGCTTGGACCCCACTGCACGGCGGCTGGAAACTTGTGAGCGTGGAAGGTCATTTCGGGACCCCGTAAGGCCGCCACACTCAATTTTTTCCAACCACCGACCTGCTTTTCAGACCCCACTCGCCGGGAACACTGTCCGTTTTCAGACCCCACTCACGGGGGAAACTGGCCTGGAAACCAGCCGAAAAGTGTTTCTACTCGGCTGGCGGCTGGACAACCCATAGCCAGGTGCCGCCAAAATTTATCCAAAGGTCCTTCGGGACCACCAGTACTTGGCCCAGCTATCCAGTCCGAGCCTCGGCATACAAGCCTCGGCCTACCCGTATGCCGAGCCTTGCCGAGGCTCCAACCACTGGGCACTAGCTTCCCGTACCTGGTTGCAGAATAACACGGAAAAGAGAAGACAAAAAAAAAAAAAAAAAAGATAATTTGCAAAATACCCCCATAAGTTGAGATATGTGCCAAAATGCCCCTAAAAGATGTGGGTAGAGCGGCATACCCCTTTGACAAAAAAAATAGTTTGTGAAATGCCCCTAGTATAGGTTGGACCCCCATCTTTGCAATATACCCCTACCGGGTACCGTCCAACTTTGCAAAATGCCCTAGAACTTGCCGACTTTTCCTAGGCCCAATTGCAAAAGGCCAAGGTCCAGACTGGGTGGTCCATATTGCAAAGATGGACACCCGCCTAACAGGGGCACAACGCAAAGATTTCGGCCCAAAAGGGCATTCTGATCTACCCACATCTTTCAGGGGCATTTTGACATTTATCTCAACTTATGAGGGTATTTTGCAAATTATCCCAAAAAAAAAACACAATGTAAAAACGCAACAATAGAAATACGGGATACAAAAAAAAAAAAAAAAAAAAAAACCTAAGCGCCCGCGGTGCGGACGGTGCGGGCCACACCCGCAGAAATAAGAGTAACTGGCTATGAAGTCCGATTTTAATTCACGAATAAAAAAAATGACGAATAGAAAGAAAAGGAAAAAAAAAGTTAGAGAAAGGGCGATGAGAGACAGATATAAACAAAGGAAAAAAAAAAAAAAAA